TGAGAGAGAGCTGAAGAGAGAATGAGGGTCACCGTGTTGTTTCGTAGAGCATCAGCGAGATGTTGTGCTCCTTTGTCTCCGATTTGATTTCCTCCTGTCGAATCGCCAAGTATGAGATTTGTGAGTGTCTAAATGAAAAGAATAAGGCTCCGAACAGACCGACTAATTCAAAGTGAATTAAAACTGAATTAACGAATAAATTGTCTCAAAAAGATGATTTAAATCGAAATAGACTAATCACGTTGCTTAATTCGTTTTATTTTTTTCAGTCTGTTAGGGGCCTAAAGTAAAAAAGTATGATTCATCGTGTCGTGTTATAATGAAACGTGGCGCATGGAATAATTTTTTCCTGTTCTGTCTGTGTACATAAACGGTATATTTATTTTGTATATATGATATATCTGTCGTGTAGCGTCCTCTATATAAATTGTTATATGATTGGTCATCGAATGTTGTAATGGAATTGTGAAAACAAAGGAGCAAAAGAAGCATTGTTCCAAAAAAACTATAAGAAAGTGTTGAGTAGGGGTGGAGTGGGCGAGTATTTTGGCAATTTAGAGTTTTAATATGTATGGCACCCAGAGATGTTCATCACGCCACTGCCGCGGCGCGGCAGTGGCAGATTTTTTTTATAGATTAGCGCGGCGTGGCAGCGGCTTTTCATTTTTTTAGCCACCGTGGCAGCGGCGCGGCACGATTTTTTTGCAGAAATTTACTTTATAATTCTAAAAAGTTTCCAGCTTCACAGCTGAAATTAAACTAAACCCCTCTCATATTAAAAGCCCCTCCCTTATTAGAAGCCCCCTCCGAAGGACCGACATGAAAGATGTATTAGAAGCTCCCCTTATTTTACAAACTTTTTGAAAAATTTGATTAGTATTTTCTTCGCAAAACCGTCAAAATTCAAGATCTTAAGATAAGAATTTGTTTAATTTCCTTATGTGCTAGCGTAAAAATCTCGAAATCTCCTTGGAAATCGTTTGAAAAACTCTAGAAAACCTTAAAAATCTCTGAAATTCTTTGAAATTCTTTTTACATCTAAAACTATTGAAAAAATTTGGGACTTAATAGAAGCCCCCTCCGAAAATTTTGGATGGTGGGCAGTTTAGAAGCTCCCGGGGGCTTCTATTATGGGAGGGGGTTTAGTCTTTCACATAAAGTAGACAAATTAAATTCTTTTTCTAAATGTTGCATTTTACGGTGATTTTAAAGTGCGGAGACTAATAATAGCTTTAAGCTTATCTAAGTTAATTACGTTGGTACGAGAAATATATTGATTACAATATGAAGATTCTTTCGTTGTTCCATGAAGAACTTAAATAGACAATGTGATCTCAGAAGCTATACTTGTTCTATATATACTGAGAAGTTATTTGTTACTATAGCATCTAAATCGTTATTCCTCATTGATTTCGAGTGAAAACCAGACTGCATGACTATTGTAGACTGACAAATGGTATTTTTTCTTCATGTAATGGTAGTAGCGGTGCTGTAACCTTTTCTTCAAATATCGCTGCAACAACGGCAATGTTTTTAGTATGTTGAGATGCAGAAGCACTGCAGCAACATGTATTTTATATAATACAGCGGTGCGGCAGCGGCAGCGGCAGCGGCAGCGGCAGCGGCAGCGGCAGCGGCAGGTTTTCAGTCGCGATGGACATCTCTGATGGCACCTGAAAATTATTGATTATTTACGTATTGATTTATCATTTAATATTATTTTTTTTTATGTATTATATCAGCGGTCGTATCTCATGGTAAAAAAATATACATGTAAAATTTTTTTTTTATAAATTCTGGATGATTTTTTTTCGTGAAATTTCTCGATAGAAAATTTAGAAATTATATCACATTGAATGCAGTTGAAAATTATATTTTTTTTCTTTGTTTATGTTAAATATATCTATTTAAAATAAAATATTTGCGAATGAATTTCTCACTAGAGCTTCAGATAACATAAATATTCTATTTAGCTGTTACATATTTATTATTCATTTGTTTTTTTTCTAAATGAGATTGAAATCTCTTCAGGATACTTCTGACAATAGATAGATAATAAAAAGTTTATTACTGTATTATTTCGTAATTCTTTGGCTAGTATTGCAGCACCTTCATGTGTAATTTTGTTGTTGGATAAGTTCAGTTCCGTACATTGTTGTTGTACAATTGCTTCTTGGATTATACGTTTAATATCAGCATCGGTAATATTCTTTGACTTGTAAGAAATTTTCACTGGTTCTACAGGTGGTTTGGGCTGAGAAGCTGCTTTTGGTACTGCTACAGCTGCTGCTGGCTTCGGATTTCGATCAGTAGTTTTAGTAACGATAGGCTTTGGAGATTTTGACAATGTAAGCGATGCGATATTAGGAAATCGTGGCTCGACTTCCTTCAGTTGAATCATGCTCATTTGATGTCCCATGTCCATTGATGAAACGACTTCGAATTCTCGACCAGGAAGAAGGAGTATTTCATCTTCCTTTTCATAAAATGAATAGTGACGAATATTTTTTCCAGTGTCACATTCAATCGCGAATAAAGTTCGTGTACCACTCTTCCCGAAAAAGGCATCATTTTCGAGAACTCCAACAGTTGTTGTACACGAAGAAAAACCCCACCAAACAATTCGCATTCCTTCTTTATACTTCTGTCGTAAATCTAACTTGACTCCTCGATAGATGGTTCGAAGACCAGTCGGTGGAAGTTTCGAGAGAGCTGTTAGCAAGAGTTTTAAAAATTTGAACCATGGAGGAAGCATTTCTTCTCGATTTGCATTTCGTAGTGTTTCATTCAAAAAGATGTAGAATGAATTTTTTCGTGGGGTCCATTCCATGGAGTATAATGCGATAGATGATGATTCATCAACGGTTAAATCATCTTGTGGTTTTATATTGTTTCCTTGTACGATATACACCATATGTTCAATTTCTGGAACATGTGGTATAAGGGGTTGTGTTGCTTCTTCGAGAGACACGAGTGGCATATTCTCGAAGCCTCTCAAGGGTGGTAGCCTTCTCATAGGTTCTCCATCTATGTCGGAGAAACGATAGGCATCACGCGACTTATCAGTCATTGTAATTATGCAATCTATAAATCAATATAAAGAAATTCCATTGTTTTTTTTTTCCTTAAAAGTCGTGTGTTTCATATAGATAGTGGAGAACTCTTATTATTGACTCAATATTTCATATTTGAATAGAATATTCTACATTGATAGTATTTCTTTTTAACAATACAGTTTCGATCTTTATTTTTAAAGCGCAATTTTTTTTTCTTACCGTGGAGTCACACGTAGAGAACAAAATAATAAAATGAGGTATGCTTTACTTTCATACTTTTTCATATCGAAGAAATGACGAATAGATTTTGCTCATTCTTAAAACAACAAGATGTTTCTATTTGTTTTATATTACAACAATGATGCTGCTGGAAAAAAGACCAGCAAAGAAAGGGTTCAGGGAAATAGAAAGCCTTCAAATCACATCAACACACTATCATGGATGCAATGAAGGAATGCTGTTTTTTTTTCTTTCTACCATCTCATGGTACTCTTGCTATTTACTCATCACTTTTCAAGTATTTTATTGTGCATTTTTCTTGTTGTGACGGCGTTGCTGTCCTTGACGATAGTGGCAACCAACTTTTTTATTCTTATAAAGCAGATTGAAATAGAAATAATAAATCAACATATGAAAAAGCAAAATTTCAAGCGAACATGTGTGTCAATCTAATTTTCAGATATATTCGAAAAGTATTCATTTTATTTTGTTGAAATCTTTCTCGATAATGTTTTTCAATATGTGTTCAATAAATGAACAAAAATGAACAAAAATATTCATTCGTTTTGAGGCACTCATAGAACAGTAATCTGTATTAAATCTATTCATACCTTCGTCATAGTATGAATTCTGTTGCTTTAAAAAAATACTCAAACCATGTGATGTTAGATAACATGAATGTTCTTTCTTTCTTTCTTTTTTTTACATTTCTTCATTATTTTTCTCCTTCATATACTTTGCTATTGTTTGTCATGCACTTAAAGAAAATTTTTCAACATTCAAAATCACTGAAATAAATACGCAATTTATACTAATAAAATAAAAATGTTTACAATCGAGACAAAATTAGAATAAATAAAAGAAACGAAAAAAATGTATGAATTATATACATTTATTTCGATAAAGAACGAAAGAATTTTATATTTTTTTCTTTGACTCAAACAATGAAAAATGATCGTATAACATGTATTTGTTTAAATAAAGATTAATTAATTTCTATAAATAGCTTTTAATCTATTGGTAGCAGTTTTAATGCATATTTTCAGAGTGTGAGTACTACTCTTCTGTTCAATCCATGATATATACACTAACACCATTCTCATAGGGATTCATTCTCTATATAAAATGTATAAATCTTGAAGTTTTACAATTTCATCTTTATTATCTTCGAACATATTATTACTGAATGATATGTATAATCAGATTTAGCTGTATTCAAACAAAAAACAATCATTCTATATCATCATGACTTGAGTTTATATATCTTTGATTCACTTTTTGGCTTGATGAGATAAACATCTAAATCTAGACCAAATTCAGCTAATTGATGTTAAGAAAGCTGCTTCTATTCTATTCAGTTAATATGAAAAAAAAATATCATGAAAATATTTCCAGTTCATACCGAAAATGTGAATAAGGACAAAAAGCTCTATATTTAGCCAAACGAGCTTCATCAAATAATTCTAAATAAAAAAAAGTTTTACTAGAATAGTAATAAAATTGTTTTTATTTAAAAATAAGTTAGGAGAAGGTTGCGGATCAGCGAACGAACTTTTGGCGAAAAGTTTTCAGCAAAAAAAACTTAAAGCGAAAATTAGATTAGCGAAAGATAAAATCAGCAAAACAGTAACTGAGCGAAAATTAAAATCAGCGAAACTTTTTTCGTGATAAATTTCTAATAGCGAAGTTACGTTTCCGCGAACTGCAAAGGGTGTGGGCGTGGGTGTAGATGTGTCTATTCTCCATCCACATCCACACCCACACCCTCACAGTTCCTGTCGGTAGTCTCAAGTTTTTGGCTACTGTTGGTTCAATCAGTTCTGTCTTTCAAAGAATCGAGTGTATTATAGAATGTTAACACTTGGAAAATATTACATTCACAGAATTTCTTAAAAACTAATAAAAAAAAACATCGTCTTAAGGTCACTTTTCCGAATAACACTTATACAACTTCGCCTAAGATATACCTGCTTCGCAATGTCTCATTCAGAATCCACTTTGTTCACTAGAATTGGAAGAGCACTATTGATTGACTCATGGCTTATGGCTTCTCTTCCGCAACCACAGTTATAACCATACAGAGATCTAGCTTCCAAGTACCAAAACAGGTCTACTCCCAGATATTCATTCTATTGCCTATGTCCATTCTCACGTCGTGCATCACTTGTGAAACATGACATGCTGTATAACATGAAGTACTTCAGCATCCCACTATCCTCATTCACAAGAGGAATATTAGACAGGCAGATCAGATGAGTTACTGAAAAATCAGATTTCTGTAGCAATACATCCTAATTGATTGATTGAAATCAATGGGTGCGGATATGAGCGTAGGTGTTTGTGAAAAGATCACTCACATCCTCGAAATACCATATGTGGTTTTGTAAAGCTATTTGCAACGTATCGAATCGTATATAAGAAACCAAGTTTTCTTCAATTTTCGATCTCCTAAGGGTCCATATATGGTGATAATCCTTGAGAAATATGTATGGTATTTATAAAGATTGTAGCTCTTAACATGTTTTAAGATAAATTGATGCAAATTTTATTTTTAAAATCAATTCGATACAGTTCCAGGTGCTCTTTAGTTTTCTATAATCAATAAATTCCATCATTGCATTCTTCATACCTAAATGTGGTTTCCTGTCTTAGATCTAGATTATTTCTTGACTATATGATATTTCAGTATGTTCAACTCTGCGACACAGAATGAGTGAGTACCAATATGAAACTTTCTCATTGATCTCGCTCAATTCTTATATTTAAACAAAAAGTGGAAAGAGAGAGAGAAAATAAAAGAAAAAAACCTATAATTGCAACCATTCGAAAGATGACGATGAATTCTTTGCGTTTTTTATCCATCATATATAGACAAAAAAAAGACATATCCATTTTCTTGTCTGAGGTCATTGCAGAAAAAGAAAGAGAACAATTATAACCTATCGATTAGGTCCTTGGTAAGGCTAGCAATGCATGAATATGAAGAAAAATAGAAACACCAATATGATACGTCAAAAAAGTGATCACAGTTGTCTTTGATCAAGAAAGTCAAATGTTTTATTATTAACATTATCATCATTGTCGATGTTGAAAACATCCGATATATAATATTCATCTAACACATTATTCTTATCATTAATTGCATCTTCATATAGCAGACATAGGTAGATTAAAAAGTATTTAAGTTATTTTACCTTCTCAAACGAAATAAAATTCTATACAAAAAAAGTCTCTTAAATATTAGCAAAGTACATTATTCCATTAAAGGTGAAACTCTCTCTCATGTGGATGATATAAATGATATATCATTATCCTTAGTATCTGATTATTCAACACTCGTTTTATTCTTATTTGTTAGATTGAAATATAAATTAAAGCAAATAAAGAGTAGTAATAGAAAAATACAATAATTCTTGTTCACAGACAGCCCCATCACCAATCGAAATATTCTGTAGTACATACAAAATTTATTGGTAGTTCTATATAGAAGGTATCCAAACTTTTTTTATGTGTCAAGACTCGAAAATATTCTTTTTGAAGGTGAAAATTTTATTTTTCACTTTACAGGGCATTAGAAACCCACCCAGATTCAAAATGTCCGATAACAAACGATCGTATACCATGCACGTAAATGACAGTCGTGCTCGAGTGTAACTTTTTTGTTTTAAATTCACCAACAAATAGATGGGTAAGTTTTCTTCCACTAAATGATTTTGTTTTTCTTATTTAGATTGAATAGAATAACAGATTAAATACCAAGTATTTATTTTTAAATAAATAATTACTTACAATTCAATATGTTATTCGATACTATATGAATACAAAAAATAACATGATTTTTCTGATTTAGATTAAATGAAATAACAAATTATACAGTAAGTATTTATTTTAAAAATAAATTTTGTCATTTCTTTTAGATTAAATCGAACAGTATGTTAAAATTATTTATTCTATAATGAATAATTCTTATTTCGTTTTCTAGACTAATTCAAATACGATATTAAACGCGAAGGATTTTTTTTTTCAAGAGAACACAGATTTCATGTTTATTGTGTGGAGAGAAGTTCTTTTGTGTTGAATGAGAAATAGCATACTTCGTCGTATGCAATTATTACAATTGTTGATCATTGTTATTCAAAACCTTCTTGAAGCTTTCACTTTTCTTTTCAAATGCAAATATTTAAAAAGCAAGAAAGGAAAAAATCAAAAATTAAAACGAATAAAAACAATGAATTCCTTTTGAAATGATAGATTTGAATAAAACTAGTTGATGTCCAATATATTGTTTGCATGGATAGATGCGAACTAGAATATCAAATATATTATATAATAGAATTATTTATTTTTATCCAAAAAATGTATCCCAATGAGATTTTCATCCATAGGTATACTATGGTCGATTTCGACGAGTAGTACGTTGAACAAGAAAAAGAAAAAAATCGTCGATTTACTGATGTTAATTGTTTTATTTCGCGTGAGATGTCATCATCGTTTTCATAAAATTTTGTTTCTCGATTTTTCAAAAGTGTTAATAATTTTGAATAACTCGGTAATGCAACAAAATTTTGTCTTGAAACTTTTGAAACAGGTTTAACATCTTCTATTGATATTGCTGGTACTAAACAAAGTAAAAGAATCTAATTAAAAAAAAAAATCATATATAAATTTCTTTATCTTACCACATAAAAGAAAAATGGATACGAAA